CCTTTTTCTGTAAATTCCTGCTGGATTTTGGCAGCAGAAAGCATCCATGTGTTAGGAATCATGGAATTCCAAAAGAAAGAAAGGAAGGGAGTGCAAACAGTGGGAATAGGAAGAAACAGCTGAACAGATACCTTTCAATTTATCTACACACCCTTCTTACATAAATGAGAGGTAGTTATCAGCTAACTAACTAACTACTAGGTCGTTAATAGGCTTATCTTTTGTGAACAGGGCTTGGGTTTACAAGATACATAACAATCAACTATTTTAAATTCACATCTGTCCCAACGATTCCCCAACAACATCACAGCTTCTGTTTTTAAGTCAGTCATCAGCAATTCTTGTTTTTCCTTTGATATTCCACGTACTTGCCTGCGTATAAGAAACTGTAAACAAGCAGGTAGATTCAACATCCTTCAGAGCTGAACCCAAGACCCTCCAAATTATCAGCAGAAGCCTTCATCCCATCGAGATGCCCACTGTTTGGCAGCTGCATTTTCCACAGGATCTCTGACTCAGCAGCTAGCAGGAAATGCATAGCACACTGAACAATGAAGCACGGGCAGTTACTGAAAACAAGTGTTCTCCATTACAAGTAATTCCAGACTGTATTTCTCTTAGTTTCCAAATAATTAAAAAAAAATAAAAATTTTTAAAAAGCATGGATTGTTGAAGTTAATTTTTTTCTTTAATTCAAATACATGGACTTTGAGGGAGGAAATGAAGACTACAAAGCTTTGCACAGTGGATTGCTTCTTTATACAGCTATGAACAGGCATACAGCTAGTCTATAATAAAGCAAACTGTGCAAATCAATTTAGGCACAGATTCTCGAAAATAGATGTACTACCCACAGCTCAGCTCTGAGCTATTCCAAGCAATGCTGGAGAAAATAAACATTTTCCTATCAGTCTGCCTGCTCCACAAAATCAGTTCAGCCGAGTCTTATGGCAAGAAGGGGATGCTTTGGTGGAACAAGAGAGGGTCCTGCTGTGGGCTTTTACAAACATGCGACTCCCATCAGGGGACTGGGACATGTAGTTCTCAGAGGTGACCATGCCTTGTTTTTTAGCTGGAGTGACTCAAGCCATGTCTGCTCATAGGACTGGTGAACCCTCAGGGGTGGAACAAGGGCAGAGGTGGGTGGAAGCTTCTGCACATGACTGGAATTTGAAACACCAGCTTGGGCGAAGCTGCAAAATTGTATTTTAGGGTGTCCTTCTTTGAACAAAACCTTATTAGTAACTACAGTTGAAATTAAGAACATTTAATTGAATCCATTTAAATAATTTTTGACTGTTACTCTAGAGGAATTCTAATTATGGGGAAAGTCATAAGCAGGCTGTGTTTGTTGCTGAAACTTCAAGCCAAGTCAAACTACTGAAAGGGATGAAGTCACTGAACAGAAGAAGCCAGCAGAACCCAAAGCTGTCTTGAACTGCTAACCTTGCCATAGCCAGCAGGCAGCTTTCCCATGAATGCAAATAAATATTTACTTAGTCTCAGTTCATTCAGATAATTACACTCCATGGGCATAGCTAATTCACATTTAAACTAAGTGACATATAAAAGATGTTCCTACTTTGTGTGGAAAAAGTAGCGTAAGGTGGCAAGATCTGGGAGTCCTAAAATCCTGCAGGATTAGAATCTACCAGGAATAATGAGTAATACTTTGTTCCATCACTAGGTTAAATCAAAACATATTTGAGTCAAGAGAGCCAATAGTATCTTGGGCTGTATTAAGAACAGTGTGGTCAGCAGGTTAAGGGAGGTTCTCCTCTCCCTCTATTCTGCCCTTGTAAGACCACATCTGGAGTACTGTGTCCAGTGCCGGGGTTCCCAGTTCAAAAGGGACAGGGATATACTGGAAAATATACATGGCTATGAGGATGACTAAGGGACTGGAACATCTGTCATACGAAGAAAGGCTAGGACACCTGGGGGTGTTTAGTCTTGAGAAGCGAAGACTAAGAGGAGACCTTATCAGTGTCTACAAGTATCTGAAGGGTGGATGTCAAGAATGGGCCAATCTCTTTTCAGTGGTGCCCTGTGATAGGACGAGGGGAAACAGCACCAAGTTACAACACAGGAAGTTCCACCTCAACATGAGGAAAAACTTCTTTACTGTGACTATGACAGATCACCAGAACAGGCTGCACAGGGAGGTTGCAGAGTCCCCTTCTTTGGAGAGTTTCAGGACCAGTCTGGACACATTCCTGTGTGATCTTCCATAGGTGTTCCTGCTGCAGCCGTGGGGTTGGACTTGATGATCTTCAGAGGTCCCTTCCAACCCCTACGATTCTATGATTCTGTGTGGTTCTATGATTCTGTTCCTCCAGCATGTTAATGATATTATGTCAACTGATAAAGAACTGTGTTCCTGCAAGCAACTTGAATTTCAATTTCCATCAAAACAAAACTTGCCACAAATCATAAGCAAATGAACAACCATCTAATGGGAATGGATAGACAACTTTTACTCTTTCTTAACGTATAAAACATAAAACTTTATGAGCCCAAATCAAAATGTCAGGCTGGCAATGGCTTTAAAACACACTCATGTATTTAAAAAAAAGCCATCCCTTCAGACCTTACAAGTTGCCTACTGAAGTCTCCACAGGGTTCACACCTTCACAAAACACTGTGAGAACTGTGGGAACAATTGAGATTCCAGAGAGCTTCCCTGGCAGGAGATGCCAGAGCCACTCAGGACACAGTGGCAGGGAAGGGATGGGCTGGTCACACATGTAGGGACTGTCCTGGTTATGCCCATGAAGGGGCTGAGGGCCACCACATTACTCACCAGCCCCATGGACAGGCAGATGCTGTAGTCTGGGTGTGGGATGTGCAGGTAAACAGCACACAAACAATAAGCTGGTCACTCTTGCTACAATACATCTCCAAGGGGCATGAAAGATACCTGGATATAGTTTAAGAGCTGTATGAAATTGTGTGAAAAAATGTTGATTCTGTTACCAACAGAGAAGAAATCTCTTAAGAAGGGATAGCAGTGAAAGATAACCTAGGGTATAAATAAAAAACAAAGTAGAAACTGATTATCTGAATAAAGCTTTTCCACTTGCTGATCTAAACCATAATCAAATTTGTGATTCAAATCAATGTAGCCTGGTGTTGTCTTATCCTCTTAAGTTTTATATATTTTATTTACACATAATTAGTAAACTTCCTATGATACGTCCTGGATTTTAGAATGCATGAATAGCCAGTGAATGATAAGCAATGAAAATGCTGCATTGCTGCTTCTCCATCTAAGTGCAAATACTGTCAACAGAACTCAGGAATAAGCTCCAGTAATGAGGAAATGGCATCAGAGAAATGTCTCCCTGCTTATTCAAATCTTAAGCTAGGGAAAAGTCAGAAGCAGTATTAGCATTAATTATACTGCCAGCTACCATGCAGATCTCCCACACCAAAGTGTAAAATCCAAAATTGGTACAAGCTTGTTAGAACAGAACACTTTCACTGTCAGAGAAGGAACAAGGAGAAAAAAAAAAAAAAAAAAAAGGAAAAAAGGAGAGCAATTTGTGGCTTTACATCAAGTATATTTCATAACTGTCTGTTAAAGTATGTACCCACATCATAAAACACTTTAAAAAAAACCAAGCATTTTTAAATGTATGTACAATAATGCAAAAATATGCCTAAATATGTATCTAATGCAAAAAAATAAACCATTTAATAAAATCTCCCTTCAAATGTCCCCTTGCTCTTCAACATCTTAAAAAAAGAAAGAACAAGCTCAGTAAACGAACAGGAGTTAAACATAAATTCACTGACTGACAACAGCAGTGCTAAGCAGACACTTGAGAATGGAGAGGCATCCAATTCAGCTTCCCATTCCTCTGGATTACGCCCCAACTACAGTGCCACTTGTCCTATGCCAGTTGAATTTTGGTTCTAAAAAGTCAGCGTGGTGTTTCAAGACGCTGCCTGTGGCACTCATTTTCCATGCAAGCAAAAAAAGTTAATGATAACCCAACTAAGCACCTTTTAAATCCCCTTAAACAGAGGTGAATTTCACCCTAGGCAAATATTTCATGTTCTGCATAATCCTGCCAAGCACAGAGATCCCGTCCAAAAACCAATATGAACTAATGTGTACTTGGACAACTGTGGTGGGAGAGTGACTTCTGCTGTTTCACAATTGTTTAGTCATCTCTTCTTTCTATATACTCTAGGAAACTGCAAACAGGGCTCTGGTCTTAACAGTTTCAGTAAGTCCAGTAACTTCTATTTGTGACGTTGCAATTTCACTAGTAATCAGGCTCCTAAGTATTTCCAAAGACTAGGTCTGAATGTCTGAGTTAAACAAGACACTTCAGTTACACAAGAAAATGCTAATCTGTTTCTTATTTAGATGTGTCGATGTATACCCTTTATCTTGCTAGAGTAACTACCCTCTGAGTACAACTGGCTGTATGTGAAATACAGCTCTTATTTGCAAAAGCAATCTGAAGAGGTTTCAGTATTGCTCCCTATAGGAAAGGTGGCAGGAATTGAAGCTCTGTTTAAAAAAACCTGCTTATAAGGCACTGGTGCAGCCAGGTTTGTGACGAGCATGGCTTTATGATTTATCTTTTCCAACTGTTTAAAAGTAAGTCAATTAAATCAGCCATAAATAGCAATAAAAATACATTTTAAAAGTCCCAAACCAAAGAAATCAAATTAGCATCGAAACTTAATTTATGACAGTCCCACTTCAGTGTACACATTAGCTCCTGCATGTCTTTTTAAATTCATTGTTGGCTCATATTCAGCCTATGTACAAAAGTTGCTCTTCCCCCCACCCCCACCCCCCAAGTCATGATGGGCTGAGTATCTTCTACAAACTAGAAATTTTTAGATGACATAATGAAGTTACACATTAAACTTACAGATCATGGACAGGAACATGAGAACATACATTGGCTTACCCACTGTACATATCTATTTAAAGCTTTAAAAGAATAAGAATATACACAAAATATACACCTAATTCACAAAGTAAAATAGCCCTCAGCATTGCTATTTTGTAGGGACTATGCATTTTCTCTACTAAAATTCCACACATGGAACTATCTGCACCGGCTCCTCTTCGTAAGCAACAGGATCACTTCAAGGCAAATTAGTTCTTCATGTATATGTAACAGAAACAGCAAAAGCTCAGCCTCTAGTCATCACTGTCACTTCCAGACTCACTCAACTGCAAGTCGTTTCCTATAGAAAACAAAAAACAACAAAACACAACAAGAGGGTAGGCATTAATTCACACTTCATGGCAATCAAACCAAAGAACAGTCTCATTTACGCTGAAAGATTTAAATAAAAATAACACAAAAACTTAATGCAACCATCAGCTGTCATTTAATGGAACTGCTCCCCATGCCCAAAAACATGAAAATCTGCGTGGGGCTGATACACAGCTGGATCCAGGCCAAACCAAGTGGCTTTGGCTTCACAGTCATCAAAGCTGCTCCCTGGTGGGAGAACAGGGCTCCTCGTGCTAGCAGCTGTGCCAAACTCCCGTATACAGTTCTGGGACAAAGCACTGAGGAATTCCCTGGCTTTCTCAGTCCTTTTACAATACATTTTCTTGTTTTAAGACCATTTGGGTCTCCTTATGTCAATAAGGCCTCCTTATGTCAATAAGCCAAAAGGAATGTTAAAGCCATTGCAACTCAAGGCTATCCACTGAACTAAGCTGACAGGTGCTGTGATGATGAAGGTTCCCCTCAAATGTGCCAAGGGAGATCAGACAAAAGAAAGCCAGGATATGGATCAGACCCTATTTGCAGAGCATGTGTGAATTGAAGTGAAGGGGATAAAAGGGGCAAGAATCATGCTTGTCTTATGATAACTGAACCTAGTTTTTCCAGCATTCTCCCATGGACCTGCCCTAAACACTGGTATAGCAGAGCAGCTATACCTTGGATTTCTTCATCTCCTGTTTTATCAAAAGAAAACTTGGGTTAAGGGTGACTTAAACTTGGGTGCAAACTGGAACATTAGAGGTTCCACAAAAACATCAGAAAAAACTTCTTTACTGTGAGTGACAGGGCACTGGAACAGGCTGCCCAGAGAGGCTGTGGAGTCTCCTTTACTGGAGACATTCAAAACCCACCTGGGCAAGTTCCTGTGTGATGTGCTCTAGGTGACCCTGCTCTGGCAGGGGGGTTGGACTAGATGATGTTTCGAGGTCCCTTCCAAACCCTAAGATTCTGTGATCCTGTGTGATTCTCCCCATGCATATATGGTCACCAGTATCTTGAGTCAAGGACAGATTAATCCTTGGCAAAAGAATTTTAAATTCAAAGACAAAAATCATTGAATGAAAGAAGGAACTACCCTACAAGTTCCAAAATTCTGGAGTCAGAGGATTCTTAACATTAAATAATCTATGCAAGTACTGTTGCTGTGGCCCAGGAGAAGCAGGGAAGAGGCAGCTCACAACCAGAAACAGGGAAATGGAATGAGAGTACTACTGACTTTGCTGAACTCTGGATTCCATTTAGGCATTCATTACTGACAGAAAGACTGACACACCTCTCTGGTTATCCAGTTGGCCTTTTTAAGTACTGTCTGTAAAATGTTCTTGTCTTCTCAAAGCTGGAAACCCTGCATTTATTTGTATTTATACTCCACCAGTTCCCTGTGTGAGTGCCAAGAGATGTACACAAACATGCCTTAGGAGGAATTAAGAACAATTTATGCTAAGTTCTAGTTTCTTGTAAATGCAATATTTTAACTCCACTGAGTTAGAATATACCTGATCTAGCATAAGGAAAGAGCAACACAGATACACACCATCTCCTCAGACAGAGTCTCATGAGACAAAACTATGCCTTAAAAATGTTTTTTTTTTTACACTTTTTAAACAGTGGGGTAAGTTTGTAGCAATTCAGTGCTTGCAAGCTATGATATTTTAACCAAATATATGGAACTTTAAATTTCCTTTGATATGTGATATTTGTGAAAATACAGCTGAGACTAACACACTATAGAGCAAATACTCTGACAAAGCAATACAGTTAATAATGAAGACCAGGGAGACTGTGCATTTATGACCACAGGACAGGCTTGTGTAATTCCTTTAGAGACCTTGAACTGACACTTTATGTCTAATCTGTGTTTTCACATTAAAATAATTCCCATTTTCTGGTGCACCAGACCCTCCTGCTGATGCTCCACTACCCACTCATTCTACCTCAAGGTCCGAATCAAGGCTCAGCATGGTCAATGGGGACCATTGCACAGATGCTCACAGGCTCTAGACCAAACTAAAGCAATCTCCACACCTTCAGAAAGGTCTCAGCCTTCTGTTCAAAAAACCTGCCCACATATTTCAGCTAGTACAACTCCGTGAGATTACTATTTGGCAAACCACACTTCATGGGAGTTAGCCTAACATGCTAAGAAAACAAGTGGGCTCAAGCAGCTTCCTGCAGTGATAAGACATAAGTCTTTACTTACGGAGTGTGTTCATGAGCTGATTGCTTCCTTGTGGCCTGCTGGTGCCGTTAGCAACAGCATTCCTGTTGTTATACTGCTGGTGTGGTGGCTGGGAAGGGGAAACATGTGCTGGCTCTTCCCCCTCACTGCTGGAGCTTTCATCTTCACTCCCAGATGAGCTTTCTGAATTCGATGAGCTGCTTCCACTGCTGCTGCTCATCTGCTCAATAATTTCAACCTCTGCTCTGAGCTCTGAAATAAAAGGACATTCATCTGGTTGAAAACACAAACAGGGCCCCATGGAATTTTGGAAAAGAATGTGAATATGCAATAGTTTTGTCAAGTGTAATTTATCATATCAAAATACCTTGCATGAAAGAGAGAGACAGGAAGGAAAAAACACAAAATTCTAAACACTTTTTTACTTAGTTGTTGTGGCCAAATTTAAAGGAGCAGCAGCATACTTTAGGATCACAAAACCTGCATTTCCATTATTATTACTTATATATTTTACACTGCTGAAAGCACTTCCTGCTTAATTATTTTTGGCAGGTTATATGCTCTACATACAAATTAAGTACGTTTCCTCATTGAGTTTTACAGGTCAACAGCCAGCCTATTTTTTAAAAGCATCTTAACATAAAGGAATCTAAATAGTTAGGTGTCACTGACATTTAGGCATTTGGAAAGCACAAAAGCAGGGTGAGGGCACAGGCATGTGATCACAACAGAAACTGCCTTCACTTCAGATAACATATGAAACTGCTCCAGTGCAAAGTCACACACAACTCGTTGCAAACAAACTTCAGAAGCAGATGGATGAGATAACCTTGCAGAGCAGCAGATGAGAATGGACTATAATATTCCCGTGTTGGGGAGTGGTAATGATACCCTGACCTGCTATAAAGCTTACAAGTAGCCAGGAAAATACAGAGAGTACTCTGAAACTGGGAAGTTACTTAAGTCAGACACACCCCACTTCAGGGTTTCCAGTGCAAAGAAACACTGGAATACCACAACAGCCGCATCAGCAACAGCTGGTGTTGGCTGAACAACTGGTTACTAAACAGCTATTAAGGTAAGTCACCCCAAATCATATTGTTAAATTTGTCGTAATTATGAGTGGCCTAAACACTATTAGAGGACAATTCTTTTGTATCCATTTACAAAGTCAAGTATCTAATGACTCATTTCACCCAAGCAGGTTTCCATGATAGAACAATATTCACAAATGTGTCAAGCACAGGACATAAAACACTCCACAGGGTTAGAACCCCACAGGGTTAGAACTCCAGTGCTTGCCCTGGAGAAGTCACAGGCTAAAGGGACAAGAATGAAACAAGAAGTTTGAACTCAATACAGTAGGTGAAGAGAAAATGAAGTGATGCAGTCTGATGAATAGTAAAGGAAGATTAGCCTGGGTAATTTTACATAGACTTAGACATTACTGTCAGTTTGAAAAATGAGGGTTTTCTTCTGGGGAGGCAGAAAACTAAGAGCCCTTAAAAAGAGTTTTGGTTATGATGAAAGAAAAAATGCCTTGGAAGAAATGGTAGTGGTCACTATGCTGACTAGAGACAGAGAAAGCAAAACGGCACCAGCATCACAAGCTTCAAGGACTGGGAAGTTAACGGTGTTATCAGTGACAGTGGTCACTGGTGTAAACTTGGTCTGAGCCCATCTTCTAGGCACCTTTGCCTCACAGGCCGTCAGCTTCCCCTCAGGTCTCTCTTGTCTCTTAATGACTCAAGCCCAGAATTCTAAACATCTCGTCTGAGCAGATGAGAAAAAAACTACTGTTTTCACTAACATTAGAGTGGCTGCTGCATTGTTCAGTCTGCCAGGCAAGAACTCCAGCAGGACCACAAAAGAAAAGCGTTCAAAATAGTCCTTTGTCACCATGTCAAAGATGTTGGCTAAGCCAATAATGAAACCCTTGCAGGAAAAACACATCTATTTTAAAATTGTCCAATTTTGTGTTTTCCTACTTGCCTGTTATGCTTAGTGCAGTTATAGGTACTGAAGGCTTGGCTAAACATTTCCTTGTGGTGCCTCCAATTAAAATTGTTTTTTGTATACGTGTACATGTGTGTTAAGCTGAACAATGACAAGTCAGAACCTTCCTAGATCTTTTTGCACTGTTAAGATGTTGATGCCTCATGTTGATGCACCGTTAAGGTTTAAAACATGACAAGAGTCAGGATGTGCAGCAGCTACTTTTAAGAAAGCTTTCCATTTAGTATAGTTTTGAACACTTGCTTTAATTGAGTCTACATCATCTGAAAAGGCTGACACTGCTAAGTGAACCTTACCTTTTGCTCATTTCATGTTACAACTGTAGGCTTTCTTTCAAGAAAACAAAACAGCTTGCTGTTTTATACTGGCAGCCAATGCAGCTTTTAAAGTAAAAAAAAAAATAAATCAGCCTTTCTCAACAGGGCTGTCTTCTGGATATGTTCAGTATCAATGCCCTAATTTCTTTCCATAATCATATCTAAGAGTTCTTGTTTCTTCTAAATTCAGAATAAATGTGGAATTTTTAACTAAAGCCCTAACCTTGGGCTGCAGAATACCAAGGACTTTTGAAAATAATTCAGCTCTAGGGAGGATAAGGTTCTATGCCCATCACAGAATGCTCACTGTTCATAATGGTATGCAAGGTGGAGAAAAAAAAAATCAACTTGATATTGGCACTTTTAGTATGTGAAAACTGCAGCTAGGATAGGCAGTATTTGAAACTGAAGTACAAAAAACTTGATTGAGGTGTTCTTTAGAGACAAACAGCACTATGGTATAACCCTTACAGACTACAGCTACATTCTAAGTCAACAAGATCAAGTCAAATTTTCATGCACTTGAATTTACAGTCTCCAAACCAGAAATACGTTTCTGTGGTGGTTTTTTTTTCAAGTATGGCATGCTGCAATTATGTCAATGTTATTAAAAACATTCCT